AAATGACACATGGGGGCTATACTATATGATTCCAACTATATGACATTCTAGAAAAAGCAAAACTATGGAGACAAAAGACCCAGTGGTTGCCAGGAGTAAGGGGGAGGAAGGGATAAACTAGGCAGAATACAGAGATTTTTTTAAGCCAGTTAAACTACTCTGTATGATACTATAATGATGGATACATGCCATACATTTGTCAAAACCCTAGAATGTACACCACCAACAGCAACCCCAGTGTAAACTGTGGACTTTCACAGCAACATGTCAAAGACGGTCGGTGATGGCAACAAATGTACTGCTCTAGTGCGGGATGTTGATTCTGGGAGAGGATGTGCATGTAGGAGGAGGCAGAGAATATATAGGAATTCTCTGCACTTTCTCATCAGTTTTGCTTGAACTTAAAAATGCTCTAAGAAAATGAAGCTTATTAATTTAAAAAGCCATGCATGATAAAAAATAATTTAACCAATGGCTCTTAATGTAAGAATATGAAAAAGATATTGATATGATTTTAGATACCAAGTTATTATTAACCTTTAAAAAATTACCTCTTTTTGAGTTTTGCAATAGAATCAAAGAAGAGTACCCACAAACCAAGGAAAACCTAATAAAATACTCTTCTCTTTTTCAACTATATATCTATGTAAGACCGTATTTTATTTCAGATATTGCAATCAAGGTAGCATACCACAACAGTTTGAGTGTAGAAGCTGATACAAGAATCTGTCACCTATTAAGCCAGACATTAAAGAGATTTCCAAAACCATGTAACAATGAGAGGTTACTAAAGGTTTGTTTTGGAAAATAGCTATTTTTTCATTAAAAACATTATTTATGTTAACACAATGAGTTTATTATTGTTCTTTTTCAATGAATTAACAAATATTTGAAAATGTCTCCATTTTAGTTTCTAATATGGTAAAATCAATACATATCTATAGCCCACATAAAGTGAAACACTTTGAGGTCCTCATTTTTTAAGAGTATAAAGGGTTCCCAAGGCCAAAAATATTCATAACTGCTATACTAGAAGAAAGCATAAAAGAATTTAATAACCTCAGAATGTGAGAATTGTGCGTATGGTACAAAAACCTGAAGCTGTAACAGAAGAGACTCATAAGCTTAACTACATTAAAATAAACTTCCATGTGGTAAAAATATTCCAGGAGGATAATAAAAAGACAAACTGTGAAAACAGCATCTGAGACTCAAATTACTTACATTAATTAAAAAAGATTAATTTCTCTAAAGTGTAAGTGGCTCCTACACATTAATATGAAAAAGGCTAATAACTTTCCCCCAAATAAACAGTGAATACAAACAGAAATACACAGAAAAGGAAATATAAATGGCTCTTAAACAAAAAGATACTCAACCTTTCTCATAACATAAATTCAAATCAAACATCACCAAGATGCCCTTTTTTAAAATCTAAAATCAGGTATGACAAAAAGTTCTATCCACATATACTGCTGATTGAAGTGTAAACTGGTACAACCTCCATGGAGACAAATAGTTATCAATATTCAAAACCTACTCCTTTTGGGCCCACTAATCACACCTCTAAGAAATGATCCTAAAAAACATTCACACTGTACAAAAACATGCATGAGCAGGATTTTTCTTGTTGTTGTAGTGATTGTAATGAAAAAATTTGAAATAAATATCCTTCAACAGGAAGACTTGTCAAATAAATGATGGTATATTCATAAATGGTACAGCTTCATACTTGCTAGCATATCAATCTCTCTCTATTAAGGGATACACAGTAATACTGGCTTTTTGTAGGTGGATAAGAACTGGGTAGACTGTAGGACAGTAGTAGCTGACAGACCTTCTACAGTACATCATTTTATGCTACTTGAATTTCAACCAAGTGAACACTAAGCAAAAAATGTGACTATATATAAATCTACATTCAGAAAACTGTTAACATTTGGTGAATTTCTATCCTATTCCTACTTCTCTGCATAGTTGCAATGACACATTTTATATCCTACTTATTTTGTAACCAATAAGAATTCTCCTGTTATTAAACATTTTCCCATATACATGAGTGTACATTTCACTACTCTCTGTACCATTACTTATGTTTAAAAATTGCCATAACACCGTGATTTTTCAAAATTTACCTTTAAATAATATTTTTAATGGCTACATCATATTTAACCATTCTCCAGCTGTTGGACCTTCAAGTTATTTTCAGTCTTTATCCATCATTAAACATTGTTATTCAGATATTTTGGCTCACATTTCAGATTTCTTCTTTAGAGTAGATTCCTGAAATTATTGAGTCTATAAACATTAAAAGCTAATGGTATACATTATATTCCTTTATTAGTTGTACCAATTTATAATCCTACCAACAAAGGACTCATTTCAGCAAAAATACTGAGTAGTAGCTTTGTTTTTTTTTATCTTTGCTAATCCAATAGCAGAAAATAGTTTCATTTCAATGTTAACAACATTTCTTCAAATGTTTACTATTATTCTGCACTTTTGTTGTTTAAATTTCCTCTCCTTTATCTACTTATCAGGGAAAGGCAGAGTTTTGGTGTTTTTCTTACTGATTTTTTTTAACTCTGTAGTTTAAGGACGTTAACTCTTGCCCAGTTTATTATTTCTCTGAAAAAGATAATTGTTACTTAATAAAAACAAGAAAAAGGCAAGTAGAAATATCATGCTAAGGCCTTAGTTAGAATAATTATTTAGAAAACACTGTATTCTATTTAACTTGCATCAGACCCTGAATTTTTAAAAATTAGTATTGGGATAATTCTTATTTTTCACATGTAATTCATGCTCCTAACTTTTAGAATAATCTCACATTTTGTATTTTAGTTTATAGCATAAAAATACTGTATCACAAAAATATTATGAAGTCAATTTCAATTCACAGTTTAAAAATTATCTATACACTAAGACAGTTTACAATGTGCACATTAAGACAAGTTCAAATGGAGAAAAGAAAAAATAGCAAAGGTTTGCAGCACATATGACAGAAATCAAAGAAAAAAGCTGAAGGTTAATTCTCATGAAATTCTATTCCCAAAGACAGACTGAAACTATTCTGCCCTGGAACTCTTAAGGGCTGCTCTGTTTAGATTCTCAAGATCATGCTGATCAATACTTAGGTAAAAAGTCTTCAATAAATCCTTGAAGGTGTTTTTACTTGAGTCCCACTAAAATATTTCCCTTTGGAGCCATCATCAGTAATAAAAGTCAATTCAAAATAATGACATAAAAATGAATGCCCATGGGTACTTTATCAGACAAATGAAAACCTGTAATACTAAGAGAGTAATTTCATTAAAAGGGAGAAGTAGGTCAGTATGTATAGTAATCTCTCTCTATTAAGGGATACACAGTAATACTGGCTTTTTGTAGGTGGATAAGAACTGGGTAGACTGTAGGACAGTAGTAGCTGACAGACCTTCTACAGTACATCATTTTATGCTACTTGAATTTCAACCAAGTGAACACTAAGCAAAAAATGTGACTATATATAAATCTACATTCAGAAAACTGTTAACATTTGGTGAATTTCTATCCTATTCCTACTTCTCTGCATAGTTGCAATGACACATTTTATATCCTACTTATTTTGTAACCAATATGCATTCTCCTGTTATTAAACATTTTCCCATATACATGAGTGTTCATTTCACTATTCTCTGTACCTTTACTTATGTTTAAAAATTGCCATAACACCGTGACTTTTCAAATTTGACCTTTAAATATTATTTTTTATGGCTACATCATATTTAACCATTCTCCAGCCATTGGACTTTCAAGTTATTTTCAGTCTTTATCCATCATTAAACATTGCTATTCAGATATTTTGGCTCACATTTCAGATTTCTTCTTTAGAGTAGATTCCTGAAATTATTGAGTCTATAAACATTAAAAGCTAATGGTATACATTATATTCCTTTATTAGTTGTACCAATTTATAATCCTACCAACAAAGGACTCATTTCAGCAAAAATACTGAGTAGTAGCTTTGTTTTTTTTTATCTTTGCTAATCCAATAGCAGAAAATAGTTTCATTTCAATGTTAACAACATTTTTTCAAATGTTTACTATTATTCTGCACTTCTGTTGTTTAAATTTCCTCTACTTTATCTACCTATCAGGGAAAGGCAGAGTTTTGGTGTTTTTCTTACTGATTTTTTTTTAACTCTATAGTTTAAGGATGTTAACTCTCGCCCAGTTTATTATTTCTGAAAAAGATAATTTTTACTTAATAAAAACAAGAAAAAGGCAAGTAGAAATATCATGCTAAGGCCTTAGTTAGAATAATTATTTAGAAAACACTGTATTCTATTTAACTTGCATCAGACCCTGAATTTTTAAAAATTAGTATTGGGATAATTCTTATTTTTCACATGTAATTCATGATTCTAACTTTTAGAATAATCTTACATTTTGTATTTTAGTTTATAGCATAAAAATACTGTATCACGAAAATATTATGAAGTCAATTTCAATTCACAGCCTAAAAATTATCTATACACTAAGACAGTTTACAATGTGCACATTAAGACAAGTTCAAATGGAGAAAAGAAAAAATAGCAAAGGTTTGCTGCACATACGACAGAAAGCAAAGAAAAAAGCTGAAGGTTAATTCTCATGAAATTCTATTCCCAAAGACAGACTGAAACCATTCTGCCCTGGAACTCTTAAGGGCTGCTCTGTTTAGATTCTCAAGATCATGCTGATCAATACTTAGGTAAAAAGTCTTCAATAAATCCTTGAAGGTGTTTTTACTTGAGTCCCACTAAAATATTTCCCTTTGGAGCCATCATCAGTAATAAAAGTCAATTCAAAATAATGACATAAAAATGAATGCCCATGGGTACTTTATCAGACAAATGAAAACCTGTAATACTAAGAGAGTAATTTCATTAAAAGGGAGAAGTAGGTCAGTATGTATAGTAAAGCAAGAAGGACTAAATAGAACCAAGAGAGGAAAGACAACACAGCACAATGATTACCTCCCACCAAGTTCTTCGATTCGTTCTCTTTCCTTAGGAAGTTCTGGCTTATGGTCCTGTGTCACTTCCACAGCTCGGACAAAATCATCCTTCGGGTCATCCTGAATTCCAAGAACCACCCCTGAGTCACCCACGTGAGCTACATACATCTTCATGCCTCGTATGATGACCACACTAGCATTTGTTCCTCATATGCTGGGAAGACCTGTCATAGTCTTTGGCCATTCTGCTGTAATTAAGAAATATAGTATTTTACTCTTCCAGGAGTAAACACTAACACTGTATCAGAATAAAAACAGCAACATATCCTGAATTAGCATAGGAAAAAATTTAAGAAAAATATTTTGAAACCAATTCAAGAAGGACCTATGTTAATCCTTTCATCAATATGTTAATATATTAATTTATAAGTAATGCAATTATATTACAACCATCAAACCGATCCTAGGAGAAAAATATTACAGGATAGATTTACTAGTTCTATGTAAGTCTTAGTCCTAACTACATTTAGTGGCAAGGATGTGTTAAGAGCTTTGGTATCATATTGCCAGTAGCTTAGTTATCTCTTTATTAATGTCTTTGAAAAGTCTTGATTTGTTATTGAAATAACTATTTTGGATATTTATAACCTAATAAATAATATTTATGAAGTACTCATGCTATATATCAGGTTCTGAGCTAAGAGCTTTACATGTTTTACGTCAAATAATACTGGCAACAAACTAATTAGATAGGTAAGATTATTCCCATTATTTTTATTTTGCAGATGAGGAAATCAGTACTTTGGTTAAGAAACTTGTTCAAGATAACTCAAACATTAAGTGGCACAGACCCCCCAATACTAATTAAATTCATTGTCATTAAAAATTCTGAAATATTCTGTAATAGTAAACAGTCTACAACACAAAGTTTAAGATAACAGAATCCAAAAACTGATACATTCTCCCCATCAAAATGCCACTAAAAGGACGTGATATAAATACTAGAAAAAGTCCATAGCAATTATGAAACACAGAGAAAGGTCACAAGCAAATCTGAGGAATTCCTGGAATTTTAAATAAATGGAATTACAGTGAGGGAAAAACCAGAATGCAAAGCTTGTTTTCATAANGTCACAAGCAAATCTGAGGAATTCCTGGAATTTTAAATAAATGGAATTACAGTGAGGGAAAAACCAGAATGCAAAGCTTGTTTTCATAAGCAAAATTGCTGTCACTGAAGAAGGCAGTACATCAGTTTTCCCTGGTAACAGAGTCCCAGAATAGCTCAAAATCAGAGGCAGTGGCCAAAGCTGAAGCAAGAATGGACAGAAGAAGCTTGGCACATAGTTTACCACTGCAGGAGTTAGGTGAGTGAATAAGTGATCTGAAAAGTAAAAAGTAAAACATTTTAGTTCCTAAGCTGCCGGAAGCTATAATACCTCTCTTTTAAGGAAAGTGATGCATCTATTGATAGAGACAACAGGGTGAGGGAGGATAAGGGAGAAGAAAGCAGGCCTGAAATACTGGATGGGGTGCCATACAACTTTCACAGACTCAAGGCTTCTTTAGTACATTCAGACTAAATATTTCAATATTATATATGTTGAAAAGGCATCTCTTGAACTCTACAGTGCATCTCCCCATCCTATCCCACAGAGAGAACCTACCCTAGAAAGGGCCCTGTCATCCACAACAGAGGGCGGCCTGCAGTGTATCAAATTATGACTTTCAAAATTGCTGAGGGAAACCAGAACAGCTACCAATACTGATGAAGCTAGAAATTTATACACATATACATATGTAAAACCACCTACAACAGTACCAGACACATGGTAAGTGCTCAATGGTAGTTTTTGTTATGACCATAATTTAAGAAAAGCAAACAGCCTGACATTCACCAAGAGAAATATGAAAAGAGAAAAACAGCCCCGAAGAAAATATCTGTGGAAAACTCAGAATGTATAGATAACTGACACTGATAAGGTTATTGGATTACATAAAATACCAATTCTATTTCTGTAAGCCAGCAACAAAAATTATAAAATGTAACTTTTTATTGGAATGTAGTTCATATACAAAATATATTATATTGGTTTCAGATACATACAAAAAGTAACTTTTTTAAAAAAGTTACTACTCACAACAGCAACAAAAGGTATAATGTATCTGGGAACAATGCTAAGAAATCTGTAACAGGACCTTTCTAGAAAAGTTATAAACCAGTGGACCAACAGAACCAAAAAGAGCAGTGAGTAGACTAATGCATATTTAGACACCTGATATGTGAACAGTGGAGAAAGAAAAGACATTCAATAAATGGACAGACATTCAATTGGGACAACATAGGGGGAAAAAAAGCGCACACAACTTGGGTCACTGATGCCAAACACAAAAAAATCACTAACAGGTACATTAAAGACCTAACATGACAAGCAAAGCTAAAATGCTTGGGAAAAATACAGGAAGGTACCCAATTTATGATCTCATGTTCGGGAAGGATTTCCTAAAGACCAAGAATTGACTAGCCATACAAAGAAAGTAATTGTGAAGTTTTACTACCATCAAAATTAAGGGCTTCTGTTTAACTAAAGATACCATTACTAGAATGAAAAGACAACATATGGAATGGAAGATATATTGTTATACATATGTATATACATGCCAAAGGAATGGTATCAAGACTAAATAAAATGCTCCTAGAAATCAAATCAGTAAGACAGACTGCAAAAAAGAAAAATAGACAAAAGACCTAAATAGGCCTTTTACAAAAGAGGAAATCCAAATAGCCATAAAACATACAAAGGTGTTTGGTTTCTTTAATCAACAGGAAATACAAATTAAAAAACACAATGAGATATCACTATATAATTATCAGGTTGCATTAAGCGTATATAAGGTGGACCAACATGCTCTATGCTCTATCACTGACTACTGATAGGAGTATAAACTGGTACAACCACTACAGGAAACATTCAGGCATTATATATTTACATCTTTTTTGTTGTTTTAATCATTAGTCTACAATTACATGAAGAACATTATGTTTACTAGGTTCCCCCCTTCACCAAGTCTAGGCATTATATATTAAAAGTGAGGATATGTACAGTCTTTAACTGTTCACTACCCCTAGGTATATAACATAAATTAAAGTACATGTACACACAATACATATGAGCATTCATAGCAGCACTGTTCATATGGTCTAAAACCAAGCAACCACCACCCAAATGTCCAACATGACAAAAGATTATATTACATGTAATGAGTAAGGATCTCACAAGATGCATGAGATAAAAGAATACAAATAACAAAAAAGTGGTATATGTATACCACTGTACAGGTAAGTGGTAAAACTATTAAGAAAAATAAGTAAGTCACTACAGAATTATCATCACGAAAGTCAGGATAGTGGTTACCACCTGGAGAAAGACAGAAATGTGAATCAGAACAACATACAGGGGCTCCCCTGGAGTGCATTTTATAATTATTAATTGAAGTGTGTATTTAAGTTTTATGGCCTTTTCTAAATATAGGCTAAGTTATATTTCACAATTTTTCAAAGTTAAAAAAAAAAAAGAAGAAGAAGAAAGCATCAATTTTGCAGGCATGGGTCACTGAAGACAGCTTCCTAGCCCATCCAATTTTGTAGTTCAGTTACAGACATCATTCCTAGAAGATCTAGAGTACGTTGTATGATTATTTAGCCAATTTAGTTATTTTATTCAAGGATAACTACAACACTTGCTAAAACTTTTTCTTTTTTCTTTTTAAATAAGCTAAAGCAGACTCTGTTGTCCACAGCAAAGAATCTTTATTATCACAATGAGGTGAATCTGAGAAAGGTTCTTAAATTCATTCAGGAAACGTACACAGTATGTAAGTAATCCAGCTATTTGCAAAAGAACCTAAAACAAAATGGAAAGGAAGAAAAGGAGCTGAAACTAAAAGGATATTCAAACACAAAATATTATTTAAATCACATTTTTGATCAGAAGCACTAGTATGTACAAAAAGACCTAAAAATACTGAATAACCCATGCCCCATGCTTTTTCCATTCCTTTTGAAATATCACCTTTATGATATGCTACATTTTGCCTCAGATGTACGTCTGGACTCATCTACTATTTATAATAATTTTTTATGATTGGAAGTTTAAGTTACCCCACCAATTATTCTTCTTTTTCTATATTCTCTTAAGTATTTTTCCAGATGAACTTTAAGAAACTGGTGAAATTAAAAAACAAACCCTCTTGAGGTTCTGATTGAAACTGCAGTAAATTTACATACTAAGGAATCGACATCTTCCTAATTTGTCTTCCTTAATTAAATTAGTCTATTTTCTAATTTACTTAAAAACAAATGACTTAAAACTAGTAACACATTAGAAAGAAAGTATCAGTACATGGACTCAGACTTAAGGAAGGTGTTTTTTAAGAAAATATGCATGGCAAATTATCAGGGAAATGCAAATTAAAACCACAATGAGATATCACCTCACCTCAGTTAGGATGGCCAACATAGAAAAGAATAGGAACAACAAATGCTGGTGAGGATGCAGAGAAAGGGGAACCCTCCTACACTGCTGATGGGAATGTAAACTAGCTCAACCATTGTGGAAATCACTATGGAGGTTCCTCAAAAAACTAAAACTAGAAATATCATTTGACCCAGGAATTCCACTCCTGGGAATTTACCCTAAGAATACACCAGCCCAGTTTGAAAAAGACATACGCACCCTTATGATTATCGCAGCACTATTTACAATAGCCAAGAAATGGAAGCAACCTAAGTGTCCATCAGTAGATGAATGAATAAAGAAGATGTGGTACATACAATGGAAAATTATTCAGCCATTAAGAAGAAAACAAAGACTACCACTTGCAACAACATGGACAGAGCTAGAGGGTATTATGCTCAGTGAAATAAGCCAGGTGGAGAAAGACAAGTACCAAATGATTTTACTCTTCTGTGAAGCATAAGAACAAAGCAAAAACTGAAGGAACAAAACAGCAGCAGACTCACAGAATCCAAGAATGGACTAACAGTTACCAAAGGGAAAGGGACTGGAGGGGGTGGGTGGGAAGGGAGGGAGAAGGGGAATAAGGGGCATTAAGATTAGCACACATAATGTAGGGGGTGGCACGAGGAATGCAGAGTAGCACAGAAAAGGCAAGTAGTGATTTTATAGCATCTTTCTACACTGATGAACAGTGACTGTAATGGGGTATGTGGTGGGGACTTGATAAT